ATCAAGAGTACAAATAATAAATCTAAAAGTCAAGCAGTAGAGGTCAGATTATCTTCAGATAGAATGTCAGATAAGGAAAAGGAGGGAAGCAGTGAAACATGCAGTACTAATATTGATCCAAGGGACAACATTTCAAAAGCAGACAAATATAGTAAAGTTCAACACGCAGATTCCAGAGGTCAAGAGGTCACTGCTCTTGCTGAGATGGAGAGGAAGACCAAATCAAGTCCAATTGAAATTCAAAAGACTTTCTCCAGAAGTTCTCCAGTTCAGGAAGTTGAACAAGTTAGAACAACGCCCACAAAAGTTCAAGAGGTGAAATCTTCCAAAATCAAAGAGATGGGTATTCCAGTAGGAACTACAAAAAGGGTCAAGTCGCCAGTCAAGGTTCAAAACGTGCCCTCCGGCGCCATAGAAGTTAGCAAAGTTGAATCAACACCTCAGGCAGATGCTCAAAGAGGCATCAAGCCATCTCTTGGAAATGCTCAAGAGGTCAGATCAACACTGATCAACACACAAGAACAGGGAAACTTAACACCAGTCAAGATTCCAGCTAAAATGCAAAGCACCCCAAAAAAAGGAAAAGAAAAGAATGATGTTGACACAGAAGAAAGCCCAAGTGAACTTACACCAAAGAAAGCAAAAAAGAAGAGATCAGATGTGGAAAGAGCCCCGATATCACCAACACCCAGTCCTCTATCAGTTTCTATACCCACACAAATATCTAAAGCAAAAAAGGGAAAACCCGTGGAGTCTAAGAACTCAAACTTCCAGCTTAAACATGCAATGCCAGCACAAGAAAAAATAGAAATCAAAAGGGAAAATTATAGTAAAATACCTCAGAACTCTGATATATCATTTCCCCCAATAAAGAACCAAAAATCAGGAGGAACTGCAGAAAAAAGCCAATCAGCTTCCAATTTGCACTCGCCCACTGATAAAGTGCTTACTGAACAGAAGCATGAATTTCCATCTATTAAAAGCTTAGCTCCAGAAAGAGGCCACTTATTTTCCAGTTTATGGTCCAAAAACCAATCAGCAACCAATAAATCTTCTGCCACCAAAGAAGCCGAATCATCATCTGGTAAATTATTATGTACATCAAGTTCATCACCACAACACAAGCAGTCACCACTAAAAGAAAATAAATTTGCCAGAAAAACAGTTGAACCTAAAGAGCCAGACAGGAAGCCACAGGCTGAGCAGAGCATTATGGGTAGTGTAGTTTCATCACTACCAGCCATGGCTATAGCAAGTGCTGCACCACTACTGATAAAAGCAGCCAAAGTTCTTTCTGAAACCCAACCAGAACCAAGTATTGAAATGTCCTCACATGCATCAATGTCCAAGGAAACATCAGGAAGCAATATCCTGCTAGAACAGGAAGTGGACCAGGACAGCACAGTTCAGGTTGTATCAGTTATTAAGGAAAGGGATGACAGCATAATCAGACAGCAGAGTGCACAAGATGAACAAAATATGCTAGTTTCAAATGAAAACGAAATGTGGGTGAGTGGTGATGGAAAAATAGAGGAAGAGGAACATGTGAAGTATAGTGAGACAGAGAGAAAGGAAGAGGGAGGTGAAAAAGAAAGACTCGCTGAGGAAGAAGATGAACTTCAGGAGGTTGGGCAGGAAGAGGAGAACAGTGCTGTTGAAGATGAAGAAGAAAGAGAGAGTAAGAATCATGAAGGTAGAGGAGAGAGTGCTCAACAGGGAGAGGAGGAAAATGAAGAAGAGGAGGCAGAAGAAGAGGGAAGTGAGGCAGCCAGAGAGGAAGAGGATGACAGCAATAGCGGACAGAGCAGCAAAAGTGAGGGAGAGATGAGTAAAGGGGAAGAAAGTGGAGATGAGACTGAAAGAGAAGAAGGAGAGAAGAGTGAGGGACAAGAGAAAGAGGAGAGTGAGGAAGGAGAAACTGATGAGAAGGAGGAAGAAGATGACGAGAGTGCTGGTGAAGACAAGGAAGAGGAGAGGGAGAGCTGGGATGAGGGGAGTGAGAGAGAGGTGGAAGACGAGGAGAAAACAGATGCAGAGCAGGAGCAGGAAGGAGAGAGCAGTAATGAGGAGAAAACTGATGAACAATCTGAAAGCGGCAATGATATAAAGAATGAGAGGTCAGATGAAGAGAAAGGAGAGAGTGAAGAAAAGGATGAGAGTGAGGAAGAGGAAGAGAATGAGAAAGTGGAAGGAGAGGGAGAACAAGAAGAAAAGGGGGAAGAAGAGAGCGAAGAAGAGGATGAGGTAGGAAATGAAGATGAGGAGGAAAATCAAGAAGAAGAGAGTGATCATGAAGAGGAGGAGGAAAGCAGAGATCAGGCAAAAGAAGAGGAAGAGGAAGAGGGGGTGGATGAAGAGGAAAATAATGAAGAACTGAAAGACAAGAAAGATGGGGTCACAAACAAGAGTGAAGAAGAGGAGAGTGTGAGAGAAAGAGAAGAGCGACAGAATGAGGTGGAAGCTGAAGATGAGGAAAAAATGTCAGAGACAGATGGAGATGAAGACAGAGAAAAACAAGAAGGGAAAGAACAGATTGAGGAAGAAGACGGAGAAAAAGAAGAGGACAAAAAAGAAGGGGAAATGGATACAGCTGAAGAGAAGTTTAGAGAAGAAGAGAATCTTTACATTTTAGAGACACGGGAAACAGAAAGAGGAGATGAAGATGATGAGACAGACAAACTGAATGACATGGAGGAAGAAAATAATGAGGAAGAAAGTGGACATGAGGAAGAAGCAGAAGACAAAGAAATAGACCAGAATGAAGAGAATAAAACAACAGAGAGAAGTCAGAGGAAACAGAGAGAAACTAATGAAGAAGAAGAGGAGGGAGGTGAAGAAGTAGAAGAAGAGGAGGAGGAAGAAACAGAGCAGAAAAATAAGAATATAAAAACAAAGAAAAACAGAAGGAAACAGAGAGAAACTAGTGAGGAGGAAGAGGAAGAAGAGAGTGAGGAAGAGGAGGAAGAAACTGAGCAGGAAGAAAATAATATAAAAACAGAGAAAAACAGGAGGAAACTGAGAGAAACTAGTGAAGAGGAAGAGGACGAAGAGAGTGAGGAAGAGGAGGAAGAATCTGAGCAGGAAGAAAACAATATAAAAACAGAGAAAAACAGGAGGAAACCGAGAGAAACTAGTGAAGAGGAAGAGGAAGAAGAGAGTGAGGAAGAGGAGGAAGAATCTGAGCAGGAAGAAAAGAATATGAAAACAGAGAAAAACGGGAGGAAACCGAGAGAAACTAGTGAAGAGGAAGAGGAAGAAGAGAGTGAGGAAGAGGAGGAAGAATCTGAGCAGGAAGAAAAGAATATGAAAACAGAGAAAAACGGGAGGAAACCGAGAGAAACTAGTGAAGAGGAAGAGGAAGAAGAGAGTGAAGAAGAGGAGGAAGAAACTGAGCAGGAAGAAAAGAATATAAAAACAGAGGTAAACAGGAGGAAACAGAGAGAATCTAGTCAAGAGGAAGAAGAACAGGAAGAAGAGAGTGAGGAGGAGGAGGAGGAGGAAATAGAGCAGAAAGAAAAGAATATAAAAATAGAAACTAGTGAAGAGGAAGAAGAACAGAGTGAAGGTGATGAAGAGGAAGAGGAGGAAGAAGAAACAGAGCATAAAGAAAAGAATAATAAAAAAGATAAACATGGAAGCGATGAGGAAGAAGAACAGGAAGAAGAGGGTGAGGAAGAGGAGGAGGAAGGGGAAGAACAAGAATGTGAGGAGGAAGAGGAAGAGGAAGAAAAAAACAAAAAAGTACCAAAGCAGAGAGCCAAACCAGATGCGTTACCTCTGCGCAGACAGACAAATGCACAGAGAGACAGACAGAACACTAGACAAAGACATCAACAGAATGTTAAAGGGCAAACAGATAGTGGTGCTCAGGACCCTCAGTTCTGGAACAATGTCCTACCACAGTATCTTAACCTTAAATGATCCCAAAGTGTGCAGCGCACTACAAACACAGAGACCACCCTGAACATCTGCCTGTATATGGAGAGTTCACAGGCCTTGACATTTGAAAAGTGTTGTGGATCAGTTCTTTAAACAGGGAAACACAAAATGTGGTTGAGGATGTTGAAGTTAACGTATTGTATTCTGATTTAGTATAATATACATCCTTTAAAGGGCTGGTTGTTACTTATGTCTTTATGGGGATTCTTGAATATCAAGTGCCTTGACTGAAATTATTCCAATCATATTCAGTTATATATTGTCATAGTGTTTATATGAATGTTAATTTTCAAGCGCAAATGCGTGAAGTATTTATTTCTGTGTACACAAAGTAATAAACCACTGCTTTGGTGAACATTTTTTGTTACTGTTCTATTGACATTCCTTTTCCAAGACCTGGTCTGTCATTAACAGCATACCAGACTTACTGTAAATGATTGCTGCAATTTAAAAGAGCAAGAGAACAGACAGTCACGCACCTACAAACTATGATTTAACTGTAAAGTTAATAAGATTTTGCTCTCAAGAGCTGTTGCTAAAGAAAAGAAAAAGTGTGTTGGTTTCTTTAGTGAAGAAATGAAGTAGGCCTACAATGTCCTCTCACTCTGGATTTTGAGGTGTTTAGCTGTAGGCCTATAAGGCTCTTACATGGATTAAACGATTACACTCTACCTAAATCTCAAATTCTAAAGAAATCCTGATGGAATTTCTGTCATAATTTGAACCAAAAAACTCCTACAAGAAGAATTCTGAATTGATTTCCAAAAATAAATCATGAATAATAAAAAGGCAATTTAGCTGTGAATTAAGTGTCCCACTTTTAGCTTACTTTTTGGTGTCGCTGTAATAAACACTCATAACAGTGCCATACACAGTTTATTCATGTAGAGCCAACTGTCCACTGGCCGCTCTGTGCGCACGCTCGCGCTGGATGAAGAGCTCTCGTATTTCTGGAGAGGAGGCGGGATCGGGCTTATGCTCTTGATTCTCGCCTAGGAATGCACCCGAGGTGTCCCAGCAGCTCCTGGACTTCCTAAAGATGGACAACTGGATGTGTGTGTGTATGATAGTGGGACTTCAGCTGTCCGGGAGTTTCGCGTATGACGGTAAGAGACCCATCCAAACGGTTCCTGTTGAGTCCCGCGCTGTGAGCTTTGATAAGTCAAAATGTGTTGAGCAAGACTGATTAAACTAATGCAGAGTTAAGCAAACACCAGAATGAATAAAGTGTTTGTGCGTCTATGAGTTTTCCCATGCTCTTTCTGCTAGCTTTCCTGTATTAGGCACAGTAGGCTACATTACAACAGAGCTCAGAGTGTTTACGTGGACGCTTTTGGGGCTGTTTGGGGTGGGGGGTGGGGGGGTAAATTCCCTTAATCCAGGGAAAATACACTGAACTCTTTCATATGAAAGGCACTGATGACTTGTCACCACTAGGACACTGCGCTCCCGGACGATCTGCTCAATACTGTTGAGTCTGACACATCTTTTGAATGCATCGTCTTTAAAGAGTCTGTGATTAATGACATAAATAATGTAACGTCTTCTGGAAGTGGGTGAGCAGTGTGTCTCAACAAAGCGCTGGGATGACTGTCAGAATTTGCAATATTTCCAAAGAAGCAGACATGTCCAATCTTATAGCTATATACTATATATATTTCTCATTCATTGAGAGTATATGATATTTGAATAATTTAGATCATTTTAATCTTTAATACCATGCACATTTAAAATTAACAGTATATTAATTAACCTCTCATTTAGATAATTCTGATCTTTAAGACCTTACACATTCATAAATTATCAGTTTCCTCATTATCCTCTAAGTTAGCAAGATAGGGACTGTACATATAATAATTTTTAAGTGCCTACTTAAGAGGATAATATTTCTTCTTGATTGTGTTGTTGAGTCATTTGGAGGCCAAGTCAAATCTCGCATCTCAAATAAATTGCTTACTTAAGTCTCAAGTCAACAGAATGAAATATTAATCATCAAAATTTGATAGAGTGACATTGGATTTACATTACAGAAATTCTGCATGCAAAATCTGGATCAACTAGTAATAAATCATCAGGCATGTTAATATGCTGGCGTTGTGCTGTCCCCCAGGCTTTGTCACACTGCTACATAGCTATGTCTACCTCTGCCAGAATGATTTTTATTTTTTCATCTTCAGTTAGCATGGGGTCTGGATCAGATTTTTGGAAATATGACTCTGATGTTTTGATATTTTTCACATTTTAGGGGGAAAAACTTATTTTTGTGTTCAGAGCTGGAGGCTATGTCCACATTTCCATTGCCAGATATGGCTGCTTGATGCCTGATGTGTATGCAGCCTCATGTCACATATTCAGCTAACTCATAAGATCTTTTAATTTAGTTTAGTTTATTTATTTATAAAGCACATTTAAAAACAACAGGAGTTGCAAACAAAGTGCTGTACAACAAATATAAAACAAAGTAAAAAAACATACCCAATCAAGACAAACAAAGGGACAAATACAATTTTACACCCTCAAACAGAATTAAAACATACAGAATAAAAATGGGTTTTCAAAGAGGATTTAAACATAGAAATAGAAGGGAAGATCTTATGTGGAGGGGAAGACTGTTCCAGAGCCTAGCAGCTGCCACGGCAAAAGTTTTAAAATGTGAACGAGGGATTAAGAGAAGAAATTGACTAGATGACCGAAGAGATCTAGAGGTGGAATGCGGAATGAGGAGATTACAAATATACTGGGGAGCACAACCATGTAAAGCTTTAAAAACAAAGAGCAAAATCTTAAAATCAACACGGAGGTGTTTGTAGCATTTTAATCTGGTTTATGTTTGTATCAGGCTGGTAAGGGGGCTCGTTTTGGAGTGTTTTGTGTATATTAGCAAGAACAAAAAGTACACTTTGCTTCCAGAAAACATTGTTTATATTCCAGCAGAAGCAGAATAAATCCCTTCAAACCTTTGGTTTCTCTGTCCAAGATTTTTTTGTTTAGAGAATTCATTAAAAAAGCAAAGAGCCTTGCTTGGACTCGCTCAGACACGTGAACTTCCTGTGCTGCTGGAAACAGAATTCAAGAAGCTGCAGAGATGCATGTGTTGTGGTTGTGTGAACTAATTGCTAAATTACCAATTCATCTTCATTTCGAGGACCGTTAGAGTTAATCACGACTGGAAATACGACAGTAAAATGTTGACTGTGAGCTTGTGGCTCATGTCATTGGGTTTTAGGTTGTGGTTGTGGTCCAGATGTCAATTTGTAAATGCACTGGAGGTCCAATTTACGAGTACAACAGATCATCAGACTCACATATTGGCTTTATTTGCATGTGTAAAGTAAACGTCAGTAAAATAAATGACGTTTTACAACATTTCGGTGAATTACCTCAAATGCTGTACATTGTTTATTCACAAAGACTGGGTGGCTATTTGTGTTTGTGTATTTTATGGCCTTGTGAACACAAACACAGACTCATGCTGGCTAAAACATGAACACGTTACAAGATTAAGACACTGTCCTGACTTGAGAACTAATATCAGTGAATTGCATGTGCGTTTATGTAGTTGTAAAATACCCACATACTCAAACGTGAATTATTCAAACTGTCTGAACTAATTGTTTTGACTAACGTGATAAATCAGTAGCTCTAATTTACAAAAATATTTTAAGTGAGCTAGCTTGTTGCATATGAGAGAAAAAAGATCATAAGTTTAGAATTTGACCCTGTTGTTGTGGCTTTATTTAAACATTGATGTAAAACAATAGGAAAGTTCATCAAGACAGCTTTAATAGATCTGGACGTTTGCTAGAGAACTGTTATTGTGCTAAGGTGTTCTGGACGATTGATAGGCCACTGTGCGGTGACTGATAGTTGGATATGAACATAATTAGTCTGTACGTGACTGTAGGATCCTATACACATAGGAGTCATGAATATGTGAGGCTGGAACTGTTGCAGACACTGAACATAGGGAGCCTAAGGGATCTTACTTTCTGATGACTAATGACTGCAGAACGTCCATCCAAGAGTGAGCCGTTTTTAAGCTAAACATTGCAGAAGTTGTGAAATCTTTAGTGATCCTCGGGACTGGTGTAAAACAGTAGGTGCTGCAGAAGCTATATGGTTTAGTTACCATAAAGTTTTCTTAAGTGGAAACTCCCTATTTATACGTGTGTGTGTGTGTGTGTGAGAGAGAGAGAGAGAGAGAGAAACTGAGCCAAGTCAATGAGTATTCTGGGTTACACAACGTTCTGCTGAGCCTGAGCTTAACAGAATGGAACAGGAAAACTTATCTGCCAAATGGAGCAAACACACCACCTACACACATGATCCCCGTGGAGTGTTTTCCATGATAGAAGTTGGAAAACTGTGGTCCTGTCATGATTCGCCTCTAGCTCTGCATTAACATTGTGTGTGTGTGTGTGTGTGTGTGTGTGTGTGTGTGTGCTGAGTCTCTTGAGTTCTTGTTACTGCATCGGAGGGAGCTTTGATCTAACTTGCTGTGTGATCTGCCATCCACACACTTACACACACACAAGAGACAAAAGAACAGAACTAGAGGGAATAAAAAAGCGAATCAGCATCAATTTATATGCACTGAATGCAGGCTCTTGTTTTTTCTAAGAGGGCGATCTGTGGGTAATAGAGTTTTCCATGTTTTTTGAAGCTGGCCTTGTTTTAAGTTTCTGGATCACTTACTTTCAGATTGCAGTAAGTACATGTCACAGAATTAGATGGAATAGAACACCGAAACCTATTTCTGTTGGAGAACATTAATTTTCTGCAGCATGGTTGATGGAAGTTGAAATTACACGTTGACTGTTGTAAAAGAGCTTCTGTCATGACATTCAAAGTAAATAAGCAATGTAAAATTAGCAGCTACTAGTCTGACCTCTGAATGAAGCCATGCCAATATCTATTCCATCTAGTCCTTCCATGCAAAGCATGTTATCCTAATATAGTGTTACATGTTATTTTATGTGGCTGCCATTTTCACTGCATCGCCATGTGACACACTGTAATTCATTACATTACCTGCAGGGGTCATTGTTGTATTTCATGCCATGCCATAAATGCAACAAACCCAGATTTCAGATGTTAGCGATGTAAGCCTCAGAGTAAAAAAAAAATAAAATAAAATAATAATACAAATATAATTGCAAGAAAGTTTGGAAAAGGAAATACACTCACATTTATAAAGTTAAAAAGGTCACACTGCTAAAGATAAAGTAAAAAAAAAAAAAAAAGTAAGATATAAAGTTACAAAATGATAAATAAATACAAATAGGGGTCGGTAAGATTAAAGGAAATATTTTAATATATAAAAAGAAAAATTAAAAAATATTACTAAAAATATATTAATATCGTAAAATAGTATTACATTTTAAATGAACTCTTTTCTATTTAAAATGTAATTTATTCCTGGGATGGAAAGCTGAATTTTCAGCATCCAGTCTTCAGTGTCATGTGATCCTTCACAGATCATTCTAATATGCTGATTTGGTGTTCAAATAACATTTCTTATTATTATCAATCCTGAAAACAGTTCTCTTGAACTCTTGAACAGACTTTTGAATGGTAGTGTATACAATTACACATTTTTATTCTGAGGTTTCCATATGTTAGCAAACTGAACTAAAAAATAATACAACAAGATATTACAACAAAAACCAAACTGTGGTTTGCTTTGTTCTAATACATCCACTCACAATACAAATGATTCTAGCTGAGCTGAATCTGAAATTCTGCGGTAATGCCAACTCTTTCTCGCTTTTGCTGTCCTAAACTGTTTTGCAGGCTCTGGATACTGGCCATACACTGATGATGAAGATGTGCGATACACAGGTGAACACACGCAAGGACATACTACATTAAATGCACATATTGATCTCAAAAACCCATTACACAGAACTTAAACCCATCTTCTCTCAGTAAAGCACTCTTACCACATCATAACACATGAGCGCTGCTGTCAGAACACATTCATTTTCAACACAGAGTACACTACATCTCTGACTGCCTGCTTAGGCCTCAGGCCTCTGATTGCTTCCTCTTCTTCTGTGGCTGTGCTACTTTATCTGTGTTCATGTTTCTCCATGCATGTCTGGATGATGCAAGTTATCAAGGTAAGTTTATAAGATTGTGTTTTATGTGTGTTTTGGTATGACTCAGTGTCTTTCTTCAGTGTATTTGCGTACGTGTGTGATAACGTGTGTCTCTTTCTAGGCGTTCCATGGTGTGCTCCAGTGAAAATCAAACATGGGCACGTCAGCTGCCAGACACCTCGCGGAGAACGTTATAAGAATGTTCTGGGAACTCGCTGCAAGATCCGCTGTAAGACGGGCTACGAGATGCACGGCAGCAGCGAGATCCTCTGTATGGCCAGCAAACAGTGGTCAGGAAACTATGCTTGCAGAGGTCTGACGTTGACAATCACATAACTCAGTTATAAGATCATATTGCATATGAATGCTGACTCCCTTCAATGATTAAGATGAATTAGTGCATATTCAGTTCTATATTTTATTGCAGTCATTTTGCAAACATTACATAATCACACATTTATTTATTTTTATTTACTTTTTATTGTTTGTTCATTTACACTACCATTTAAAAGTACATTAAAAGGGCTTGGTAACATATTTGAATGTTTTAAAAATAAGTCTCTAATGCTCACCAATGCTGTATTTATTTGATTAATATACTGTAAAAACAGTAATATTGTGAATTTAAAATAATTTAATTTAAAATAACAGTTTTCTGTTAATATATTTTCAAATGTAATTTATTCTTTTGATGGTAAAAACAAATTTTCAGCATCTTCACCAGTCTTCAGTGTCACATGATCCTTGAGAAATCATTCTAATATGCTGATTTGGTGCTCAAGAAACTTTTCTAACTATTGTTGCATAATATTTTTGTCGGAAACTGATTCTTTGATGAATTTTCTGGATTCTTTGATGAACAGAAAATTCAAATGAATACAATTATTTGAAATTTCCTTACTCTCACTGTTGATCAGTTTAATGCGTTCTTGTTGAATAAAAGTATTATTTTATTAAAAAAATTAAAAATACTTAAAAAGACCCCAAACATTTGAACAGTAGTGTATTTTTCTATATTAGTAATTGGTAAACTTACAATTATTTTTCAAATTTGCTTTATTATATACATTTTTATTATTGATTATGCTGATTAGCAAATTGCAGTTTCATTAATTTGTTTACCCATGTGCTGAAAGTTTGATTGCTTTATTGATTTTTATCAATTAATTTACTGATTCTCAATTGATTTTTGTTTTTTATTTCTTAATTTATTAATTCCTCAAATGATTATTAAGGGTCACAGTTGGATCCTCAAACCTGAAGGCATCTCAAGACACAATTTAGCACTACTCACAACCAGCCACATGTCGATCAGCAGCTGTATGACACATGGCTTGATTTGGATTGACAGCAGTGATTGTCCATTGATAATCAATTTTCACCGGGGCATGAATTATGTTTACAGAGGTCCGCTGCCCTAAACTGGCCATGCCATCTAACGGAGGTTATAAGTGTTCAGACGGATCGTACTTCAATTCCCGCTGCCAGTTTTTTTGCTCACCAGGATACACGCTTCGAGGAGACCACAGCGCCACCTGCCAAAGCAGCAGAACATGGAGCGGCGGCAACAGTGTGTGCGTGGGTGGGTTAAATAGTCATTGAGCACTCATTATTCTTTATTTACAGATATGGATCCATGACATAGTATTTAGGCATTAAAGGTGTTTTCTGTTTCAGATGTGGATCCCCCAGTTATTAAGTGTCCTAATATAAAGGAGAAGACCGCTGAACCAGGAAAACTCACTGCCAAAGTGACTTGGGACACACCAGAGGGCAAAGACACAGCAGACGGCATCCTGACAGAGTCAGTGGAGCAGTTTTATCCTCAACATATATGAGAGTAACCATGGCAATGGGCAAATTCAGATCTTTATGCTAAAATATTTGACCGCTTAATGCCACAACTGAGAATTGAGTCATTTCTAGTTGAATTCACATTGAAATCTAATCAGTCTAATAAATCTAATCCAGACTGTTGTTGTGAGAAAGAGACTGTTTATTTGTGTTGTAGTGTTATACTTGAAGGAAAGCCATCAGGCTCACACTTTCCAGAAGGGAATCATAAATTATCATACACTGTGTTTGACCGTGCTGAGAACAAGGCGACCTGCAGGTTCAATGTTCGAGTGAGAGGTGAGTTCTTTTGAAACTAGCTTTCTAAGCTACCAGTTACTCATGTTTTAAGAAGTTAAAATGCAGTCAAGCAGTTCTTTAAAAGTGCTTAGCTAAACTATGAGCATCTAAGAAATGTTAGCTACAAAACCTCTGAAGCTTTTGAAATTTGGCAATATCTATTTAAATATACACTACTGTTCAAATATTTGTGGTCGGTAAGATTTGTTAATGCTTTTTGTTAAGTCTCTTATGCTCACTTTTATTTCACTTGGTTTGAGTTGAACAGTAATGTTTTGAAATATTACACTTTAAAACAACTGTTTCTATTTTAATATATTTGAAAATGTAATTTATTCTTGTGATGGCAGAGCTGAATTTTTAGCAGTCATTACTCCAGCCTTGTGTGTCACATGATTTTTCAGAAATGTTTTCCGATATGCTGATTTGCTGCTCAAAAAATGTTTCTTCTTTTTATCAATTTTGAAAACAGTTAAGCGGCTTAATATTTTAATGGAAACTGTGATAAATTATTTTCAAGACTCTTTGAAGTATAGACAGTTCAAGAGAGCATCATTTATTTGAAATGGAAATCTTTTGTAACATTATAAATATATTTACTGTTACTGTAATGTGTCAATTTTATGCATCCTTGCTAAATGAATGTAAAGTTCTTTCAAAAAAATCGTCCAAAATTTTGAGCAATAGTGTAGCTATCAGATTATATAATGTAGGCAACTGAAAAAGCTAAATAATTTTGAAAACAGGTAAACTACTCTAACATTACTGAAAAATGTCATTAGTTTATTTAGTTGCAGAACACTGCATAATATGCTGGCACTGACACACAACATGTGTGTTGTGTGCATGTTGCAGTGCGTCGCTGTACTCCTCTCTCTGTCCCTGACAACGGCTGGATGAAATGTGACAGTGCTGGTGATAATTACGGGGCCACGTGTGAATTCCGCTGTCTGGGCGGCTACGAGCTCAGGGGCAGCGCTGCCAGAGTCTGCCAGTTTAACATGGAGTGGTCTGGCCTGGAGACTTCCTGTGCTCGTACGGAAAAAAACACATTAACACCTCACAAACACCTGCAATTGGCTTAGAGGAATTCCTTGCATTATACATTATACCTCTTTATATGTAAGATTACATAGCATTCCTGAAAGAATTATGCTGCTGATTCAGGTAAAATATTCAAATTTAATATTGGAGGCAGATTGTTAGAATAAATGATGGCAGAATTATCATGACAGAATTATTTATGTTATTCTTCTGAGATTAAACCTCAGAATTCATGTAAAATTCATGATCTTGCTCTTCCTGTCCTGCCCTCTGGTGAATAACATCATAATCATTTGTTTTATTAAAAGCCATGAATATTAATGTTGGTGTGCGATCTGCTGCTGCATTACTGGACCAGTTCTATGAGAAACGCCGCGTTCTGATCATCTCTGCCCCCTCAGCTGCCAATCACTACTACAGATTCCAGATGACCAATTTACAGGTACAAGATCAATATCTGCCTTTTTATTCTGTATATATTATTTGTGTGTGTGCTATCTATCTATCTATCTGTCTATCTGTTGTCTGTCTGTCAAACTGAGACAGACTAAATCCAGAAGAACTGTGGCAACATCTCCATTGAGATGTCACCAATGGCAATAGTGACCTGCAATAGTTTGGCAATAGGCAATAATTTGACCCTAAACGAGATCAAACATGACCAAATGGGGAGAACACATTTTATTAAGTATTTATAAATTATAATTTCATATAATTATACAGTGGTGGCCAAAATTATTAGAACACTAGTATTTTCACTAGTTAAAAAAGGGTTTTAAGTCAATTATTTTTATCTTTTGCTGTAGTCTGTCAGTAAATATACTTTTTTGGCAACGTCTCCAAGATGCTTCAAGTGACCTACCTGCAAAGCTACCTGAAAAACTATGTGCAAGTGCACCTAGGGCAAAAGCTGCTTTAAATGCACCAAATGTTGATTTAATTTAGTTAATAGAAGTTGATTGATAAAGGAAATCTATTTATGACATTATTTTTACAGCATCCTCATTTTACAGCATTTTTACACAGGTGCCTAAAACTTTTAACAGTACTGTAGCTTTGCAGGTAGGTCTCTTAAAGCATCTCGGAGATGTTGCCACAGTTCTTCTGGATTTAGTCTGTCTCAGTTTGTTCTGTTTCTTCATGTAATCTCAGACAGACTGGATGATGATCAGATCAGATCTCTGTTTGGAGCACTGGCTGTTGGCAGACTCCTTGTGCAAACAAAAATCTCACTGGATTATTACAATTAATGGCAAAATGAATGTTTGGAAATGTAAACTGATATTTCCTACTGACACACTACAGCAAAAGATAGAAATAACTGATTTAAAACCATTTTTTAGCTGGTGTTCTAATCATTTTGGCCACCACTGTAATATTAAGATTACGATTATATTTTAATATAGAAATGATTGTAAGATTCATCTGTTATATAAATAGAGAGAGAGAGAGAGATGAATGATGTTACAATACTTTGTAAGATTATACAGTACATATATAAGCAACTAAAATGGAATGATCTGTATTGTGTGTGTGTGTGTGTGGTTCAGCATGCCCAGTGTGGTCTGGACTTGAGACATGTGACTGTGATTGAGTTGGTGGGTGTTTATCCAGCTCAGATCGGCCGCATCAGACACAGACTCATCCCTCCAGGACTGGCTCTACAACTCAGGTACTTCATTACTATATTTCAGTCACTAACAACACTTACAATGATAATACTCAGGGCCGTCCTTAGCTGACGCGGGGCGGTAGGGAGCGGGGCCCCCCTCAAAGCGTGGGGCCCGGTGCGACCACACCAGTTGCACGGCCTAAAGGACGGCCCTGATAATACTTACAATGATATACAACACTACTTTGTATTTTAACTTGTAGTGAATTTATCCCAATAGTAAACAGTGTGTTTTGTTTGTGTGGGGCAGGTTGCTGCTGCAGCTGTCTCAAAACTCATTTAGCATGGTGCTGCTGGACAAACAGGGAGTGGATAAGCAGCGCTACACTTTCCCCATCACAGCAGCAGAGATCTTTACCACCACTGACACGTTTCCCCTCCGCACTGAGGAGGCCATACTACAGAAAGAGGCTGGACAGAGCTGCTAGATGTATATACAGTACACACATTTACACATCTGTTATAAAGCTACCAACCAAACTACAAGAGAGAGTCTGGATAGAGCTGCTACATCTTATCACATACTGAAAACATACATACATGCACACACATCTCTAAATATGAGTCTCTGTTTGTCTTTTTTATGATGCTCTATATTTTATTTGTCTGGTGTTTCTATTTATGTCAGAGTGGACGGTCTACTTTTCTTAAGAAATACTGTCAAAGCGATATTAATGCAATAAAGGCCTGTTTGATGATTGACATTTGAGAGCATGGGACTCAGCTTTCTTAAAATGCCAGTCATGTTTATCTTGGTTCCGTGGTTTATTAAATAAATATGCTCAAATTGAATTGAGTACAATAGAGTTATGATAAATATGTTTTCAATTTATTATGTATGGAATGACATATAAATGTCAGTGGTAAAAAAAAGGGAGAAGGCTAACATTATTGAAAGTATTTTGGTGTAGGGTTTTATTAAAATTTCTTATAAGAATGATATTGTCACGTTGCACACACACGAGGGACAAGGAGACGCTCGAGAATATGTTGACAAGACATTATTTGCACCAAGGAACCAAGGGAGACGAACACAGGAAGACGTTCAACAGCGGACCGAGAACTAGGGACTGGGAACACTTTAAATACACACAGGAGGAGGGGATGACGAGACACACCTGGGAGCAATGAAACATCAAGGGAAACACCTGGGACAAATGAAATAAACTAATCAGGACAGGAACAGGAAACTAACCAAATAAGGGCATGGGAAGGCACATGGGGAGCAGGACACACACAAAACATGGAACAGAGTCTGACAGATATATTAAGTATATTTTTTATTTATGTTTATTAATATTTAAAAGCTTTTGTAAGTCAGTGGAAGCTATTTTGTTGCCATGTGAAAAACTATAAAACTGGAAATTTTCATGACTCTTGTAGACCACTGTGGATATTTTTTTTACATATCTTTATATATAAGTAAAGAGGGCAAAGTATATAAAGTGACCTTTTTGTCACATAGTAAAAGGAAAAATGTTGAGATAAAAAAGAAAAAAAAGAAAAACAAATCGGCGTATTAGAATGATTTCTGAAGGATCATGTGACACTGAAGACTGGAGTAATGATGCTGAAAATTCAGCTTTGCCATCAAAGAAATAAATTACATTAAAAAAAAAATCTAAACAGAAAAGTTATTTTAAACTGAAATAATATTTCACATTTTTACTGTATTTTTGATCAAATAAATTCAGCCATGGCGAGCAGAAGACGTCTTTCAAATAATATATAAACATATCTATATTTGTGTGCGTGTATGTAGAAAGAGTGAGAAATATAGAAAAGTGCAAATAATAATTAAGGCGAGAGAAAAAAAAAAGAGAAATGAATTGGCAACAGTTGTTTAATAATAGTTTATTCTCTTTCTGAAGAAGATAAAGTACAGTACAATACAGAACAGTCCTAAACACTGTCTTCCTGATGAGAGAGTGGAAACAGCACACATACACCAAACATGCTGTGAATCAAACAGCTTCAGACAATATTAGACATGATAACACTTGGATGTCAAACATTGAGCCATATACATGCCACAAAATCTCTCAATTTATTAAATAGTAAGTTGTCTATAAGGTCTATTCACTTGACTTATGCTAACAAAAGTATTAGGTATAAAGGGGGTGCACACATTATTCATGGAGACCTCACAGTGACATGACGGCTCAATAGGATCAACTGAGGAATTAACTATTAGACTCGCCTCAAAACTCAATATAGGGGCTCTAGGCATGGTGCTTATGCAATATGTGTGTTTGGTGATCCTTTTTTCTATTTCTATTCTCTTTTCAGCTATAAATTCAATGTTTATAGATAGTTTTAGTCTTAGTTTTTGGTTATAATTATATTATATAACATTTTTTTTTCCTTTGGAGTAGGGTGTGATAGATCAGTGGCAGATTAAATAATCTACTAATATTTGCATGCTGAATTGTGAGAAGTCTCATAGAAATGTAATCTTCCCACTTTATCTACTCTACATTTGGGTTTACAACTATCATTTTACCAGAAACATTGGAATTTCTTGGAGGAACTGTAAATCTAGTTCAACGTAATGAATCACACTGACCTCAGATATTCTTCTTTTTTTTACACCACAATTCTGTTTTTACATTGAAACTGGTAAAACTAGCTATGAAATTTAAGTCCGCATCAGTCTCTCTTTAGCCAAATTTACGTGTATGTGACAGATCTGACACGATTATCATAACATCTTTTATGCATGTCTATATAAATGTGCTCATAGAAATGACTGATCACATCCAGTACATTGTTCTCATGTGTGCAAGCGTTATATGCAGGTGCTATCTGTGCAAATTGGATTTATTTTTTTGTGTGTGTTTGGAGGAAGTGCTTTTGTGCTTTGTTCTTACAGAACAAATGTGACCTTTGATTGTTGATCATGTTCACTGTGCTCTTTTGAAATAGTCTTCATGTGCTATTCACAGTTCTGGCCAGCGAGCGTTTGGTTTAAAATATAATCACACCTGGGTTGGAGTGTAGTGTTTCGCACCATTTACACCTGGTATGAGATTCATCTCAGCTGTTCAATCACAAGCTGTCAGTGCTAAATGAAGACAGGCCAGTGAAGGACACCTGCCCGTCATCCACTGCGGCAGAAAACTAGTTACATGTAGCTTTAAAATTAACCATCCAATTAAAACATTTCTTCAATAAGCCTGATATCAACATCTTTTGAAGCACACACTTTTGAAGGGTGCTTAATACAGGTACTCGACTAAAATAATTGTGAAAGCAGCTTTAAACTTCATGCCTGTGCTTAGATTAAAATTTAAATGTATTTAGGAGAGACTTTCCTCTTCCCTTTTTCCCTTTTTTGTGCTTTAACAACATACAGTACTGCACTGACATAAAAGATGTATGCAGAAATAAAATCAGAGTTTCTTTCCTTTGAAATCCGATCCCAAGTGGTCACAAGAGACACATTTGAGAAATATGTTAACATCAGGTATAAATGCCAATCTGTCTCAGTCAAGATGGATCTTAATACCAGGTGTAAATAGGGCCTTAGAGGCGCATATGTGTGTATATATACTAGTCTTGAGAATTTAGTGCATATGCCTGTTGGAATGAGAATCTGGGTAGTGTGAGTACTGCCAAAGAACACTTTAAAGTGTCTAGAGGTGACCGGATTTGATGAGTATTGCCAGGGAAACACTCCCTCTTTCTCTCTATGTCTTCCTCTTGGCCATGCTGGATCGCAGCATCAGGGTGCACTCTTGCGGGACCTCAGGGTTGTCAATCATGCGTTGCCATAGCCGCTGCTCTTCCCCGTAGGTATCGTTCCAATCTACTTCCTTCCCATAACTCAGACCTGCAGGTCACAAACAGGTCAGTTAACTGCTCTGTATGCAAGATCAAAACGAGAAGAAAATCTTAGTCGTGCTGCTTATATGTCAGACCCTCGCAGGGGAAAAATTTCAAACAGTCGTTTAAAGAAATTAAATATACTTATTGTGGCTAGCTAGGTCATTTTTTGTGTGTTCGGCTGTAATTCACATCAAAGAGCCCATTTAGTGTATCGCAGATAAATATTCAAAATGAAAATTGCTGTCATTTGGCTATTTTGAAACAATTTTACAAAAAATATCTTGTCAAAAACAAAATATGCATAAACATAATGGTTTTTATAATGGTTTTACAACTATTCTCCTGAAAACATTTTAGGAGATAGATGACGTGGAGATGTATGGATGAATAGAAGAATGAATGAATTAATTATTAAATATTTTTACTATTTAAAATAACTGTTTGCTATTTTAATATAATTTAAAAATTACATTTATTCCTGTGATGCAAAGCTAATTTTTCAGCAGCATTTACTCCAGTCTTCAGTGTCACATGATCCTTCAAAAATCATTCTAACATCCTGATCCTGAAACATTTTTAATATCATCATATTATCAATGTTGAAAACAGTTGTGCTGCTTAATATTTTTATGGAAAGTTCAAAAGAACATTTATTTGAATTAGAAATATTGAAATATTTAGAATAAAAAAAGAATTCAATATACTATATATACATTTGCAACACAAATAAAGGTACAGTTGTAAAAATTGTTTCATTAAATGGCCAGAAAGTGTGGAAATTAGTCTTGTAAACTGATTTTAATGCAAGAAACCTGAAGTACCATTGCTGATTATAAATATGGCAAAAGTGTAGAATTTGGCCTTTTTAATGCATAATCATCAAAGAGAAAACAAATTATCTGATCATGAGTGAGTGAAGACATGAATAAAACATATTTGTAACAGTAAATTAGTTCAGCGTGACTACAAAATGTGTTGCACAAAGTAGCGCTTCATGCATCATTGATGATGATTAAGGAAACGTTTGGAAAGAACATTACAGTGGAAATTGTATTCAAGAACATTTGGGACTGAATGATTATCTTAATTTGCGTCAGAGAACATTTCACAGTAAAAGCATTATATACAAATCTGTCGTACTAATGTGGGAAATATAATTTAAAATATATTATTATCAGAATCCAGCAGGGATAGGAAGCAACGGTAAAGAAGCAGATGATCTAAATGAAAAAACAACCATGACTGTTATTCCTGAGAGAACCTGAGAATTTTGTGTAACTGACTTTAAATGCTCTCCTCCCACAAATTTTGCATCTGAAAAATGCATAAGCCTATGTAATAAGGTCAGTTGCAAAAATAACTGTTTATTTCTGTTTATTTATTTATAGAGCACTTTTCAGGCTACACAGTAGCTCCAAAGTGCTGTACATCACAAGTTAAGATAATGTAAAACGAAGAAGGACCTAATTAAAACAAGACAACAATAACATCAATGATAAATAAACCTAGTAAAAGGTTAGAATGCCAGAGAAAACAGGTATGACTTTAAGCGGCACTTGAAGGAACTTAACGTAAGGGATGCTCTACCTCGAAAGGTAGGCTGTTCCATAATCTTGGGCCAGCGACAGCAAAAGTGCGGTCACCCTTAGATTTAAGACGCACTCTTGGGATCGTTAATTATAATTTATTTGAGGATCTCAGCGTTAATTTTGCATTATATGGTACAATGAGCTCTACCAAATATTCTGGCGCTATTCCATGTAATGCCTTAAAAACATAAGTCAAGACTTTGTATTGGATCATGTAATGCACTGGTAACCAGCCTAATAAGAATAACAGTGGGGTAACATGATCAGACTTCTTAGCTTTCATGAGCATTCTAGCAGCGGCATTTTGTACTAGCTGGAGACATGCAATGTGAGTCTGACAGGTCCCGGAATAAA